CAAATAGACCCTCACGTCCACCTTCAGAGGGCACAAGCAGACACAGGCCAGACCTCCTACCCCTCGCCCGTCGCCATCTCGATAAAACAGGAGCTTCCGTCGCCGCACCAGCCGCAGGCGGTTCCCAAGCAGTCGCTGTTCATCTCGACGACGTCGGGGCCCGGGGCCCTGTCCCTGAATCGCCCCGAGTCCCAGTCTACTCTAAAACAAGAGCCGTCTCCTCATGCTGTTTCACAGAGACCTGTGGATATGGTTCAGCTTCTGACGGTAAGTGCTGCTCTGTCTTCTTTCTTCTCCAGGAAGCTTCTTGTGTAGAGGAAAATCGGCACATTTCACTAAGCATCTCTCATTTGCAGCAACAAAATGTGAGGTCTCTTGCATCAAATGCCTCAAATGCTGGCAAGTGCTCTCACTTTGGCTGTTTCTCTCCGTGGGGGATTCTTCGCCGTGTTCACGTTTACGTGGGGTTGGCTGAAGTCTCAGGGTAGGGCAGCAGAAGGCAGGAGAGCCACCTGTGTCTCTTGTTTACCTTTTCAAGCAGCTTGCAGGCCAAGGGGAGCAGTGCTGCAGCTTTGTGTACAGTCAACTGTTGTTGGGAAGAGTGGTGGTGTGTTTAATTAAAAAAAATAAAAACGCCCAACCTCCTAAAGGCTTAAATCCTATGACTGAGGACAAAAAATACGGGGACATGGCTGAGGGATGGGCATGTCTGTGAAAGCCCTGACCAGGACTCAAGGGTTGTGCTCAGCGCCAAGTGCTTCCCGTGTCACCCTCCGCAGCTCTCGCAGACCTGCAGTTTCGCAATTCCTCATTCCTAAACCAGAAAATAACATTTGGTAACAGCTCTGCTCTGCCTCGTGCTGCCTGGGTGGGAGGCTGACATCGTTTGCGAAAGACTGGGAAGTGCTCAGATGTTGCAGTGAAGGGAGTCACCCAAATATCTCAGCCAGCTGGAAGAAAAAGGAGGTGAAATAGCAATGTAGCAGGACCTGACCCGAGCCCGGGCCGGCGCGTACAAGCGATGATAAGATGTGACATGTGTACCAAGCACTTCAAACAAAGCGGTGTCAGGGCTGCCTGTAAAAACATCAGAAGCAAGCGAGCAGCTCGGATGGGTTTCCTTCCAAAATGAAGATCCCTCTCGAGCAGATGGCAGTGCTTTTCCTAAGCTCTTTTTGTTCTTTGCATTAAGATTTCTTCTCCCGTTGCTTTTCAGAAGTACCCGATCGTGTGGCAGGGCCTTTTGGCGCTGAAGAACGACACGGCCGCGGTTCATCTGCACTTCGTGTCCGGTAACAACGTGCTGGCGCACCGCTCGCTGCCCGCGCCGGAGGGCGGCCCTCCGCTGCGCATCGCCCAGCGCATGCGCCTGGAGGCCTCGCAGCTGGAAGGCGTCGCGCGCAGGATGATGGTAAGGGCAGGACTGCTGCAAAGAGCAGTGCAGGTGCCCAAAGCTTGTCTGTTCTGCTCGTCCTTGGTGTAGCCAAAGGGAAAACAGCGCCTCTCCTGCAAACCTGGAGATGGGCAGTGGGTTTCCTTTCACACTGGGACCAAGCGTAGAGGTGAAACGTGTGTTAATCTGGCACTCAGATGAGGGAAGGGGGAATTTCATACCTGGGAAGCCCTGCTTTTCAAGTTCCCAGTGCCCTAGCTATGCAGCAAACTGCTGCCAGCTCTAACACGTCAAAGCAGGGTGGAAGGGGGAAGGTAGAAGGCCATGGAAACCTGATGTTTTTCATTCCTCTTCACAACCTTCCAGGCCAGGCTGAGCTTTCAACGCGTGTCTTTCCTAACACCCGCAGTTGCTTCCAAGGAGTTCAAAGAGAGGATTTTCCAGCAAGTGCTTAAAGTTAATGAATGTGTGTCAGGAATAGACCTGTTCCAAGCAAACATTTCACTTAATTGCTGGATTTTCTTTCCAGGTGGAGAGCGATTACTGCCTTTTACTGGCCTTGCCTTGTGGACGAGACCAGGAAGATGTAGTGAATCAGACTGAGTCACTTAAGGCTGCATTCATCAGCTACCTGCAGGCTAAACAAGCTGCAGGAATCATCAACGTTCCCAACCCTGGCTCTAATCAGGTATTTAGCAAGGAAGCTTTTTGTAGATAAAATAAATAGAAGTTGTACCTTGATAAGGGACCTTGAGGCCCTCCGCCCTCAAGTCTTTGCTCAGGATTGCAGTTAAGATGCAGCTTTTGAAACAAAACCCTAACGTTTGCCATGAGTTGTTACATCACTGGTCGTGGTGCACGATATAAGTATAATTACTGAAGGGGACCACACAGCCAAAAAACACCCAAAACTAGGTTCGTTTTTGTTCTTTGCAGCCCTAAGTCTTTGGTTGGAGAAAAAAAAAGAAAAAAAAGAAACATTTTCCACCTCTTCATTTGTGTTGGAAGGAGAGTCCTTACTTGCCCTGGTTTCTTCCTCACGTGATATCCTGTTTTTTTTCCAGAACACCTGATATTTTTTTTTTCTTTTCTTTGTCAAAGACAAAATATTTGGGTTTGGTAATCCCAAGTATTTGTTCCAGATGTGTTGCTCCATCTAACTAGATTTAATGTGTTGCCCTCAATAACAGTCCCCCAGACTGAGAGCAACCACTGAAAGCTGCCACTTGATACAATTCTGGGGTATTTCATGGTAAAATCAGCCAGGTATTATGTTTCTGGTGTGGAAAAATGCCCCACTATGAGAACCAGCCCTGCGTTGCTGCTGAATTGCCTCTTGTTTCCTTCTTCTCCCACTCGTGCTGTTTCACGAGCGTTCTGCAGCGCTCAAAACCGTCCCCATCCGAGTGTCAGGGTTAGATGGTTTAAGCCAGCCCAGCTGCTGCGTGTCTCCATAATGAAAACCATCATTTCCCTCCGGCTTTTACAAAAATCAAAAAACGAAGGAAGAGTGAAAAGATTCTCATTCCTTGCTCAGTTGATGACTTGCTTTGATACAGTCTTTTGCAGTTCTTGCAATAACTTCACAGTAGAGAGGGGGAAAAGCAGCAGCTGCTCCTTCCCAAGGCTTGTGCTTGGGGCAAAGGGGAGGTGGGGAGGGTTCCTTAGCTCCTATCTCTCTTTGTCTTCATTTCTTCATTTTTTCCCTCTTTTGCAGCCTGCCTACGTTCTGCAGATATTCCCACCCTGTGAATTCTCGGAAAGCCACCTGTCCCGTCTGGCCCCAGACCTCCTCGCCAGCATCTCAAACATCTCTCCTCACCTTATGATTGTCATCGCGTCGGTATGAGCTGTTTACCGGTTACAGACTTTTCCAAGGCCCTGCAGCAAAAAAAATAAATATATATATATATATATATATATAAAACACAATTAAATAAAAAATAAATAAGAGAGAGAAAGTACTGAAACAAGAAAATGCTGCCAGACTACCAGCCTCCTGCCCTAACAGGCCTCGATCAAACTGTTGCTGGGTAGTGGTTCTGCTACCTTGTATGTTTACATATTGCTTTAGCTTATGGACAACTGATGCACTCAACAGGCGGACTGGTATTGGGTTTCTGTGCCTCCTTTTGGGGAAAATAAAGGATGGCTATTTTTTTTAACAAAAAAAAAATAAATAAAAAAGAACCTGAACTGCCTTTGCACTAAATTAGTGACTCGGACCTTTGCACAGTTGGAGACACGCTGTGACGTTCTGGATGTCTTGACACACAGTTAACATTTGCGTTGTGGACTAAACGCAGGACCTGGGAACTTCTGCTGAGATTTGTGGGTCAAGGATCATTTCACACATTATCTTTTTGGTCCTTTCTTTTTTTGTTGTTTCTTTTTGTTGTTGTTTTTTTTCCTCCTCTCTGGATGTGAACCTTCCTCTCCTCCACTTGCCCCTGCTGCAGCCGTCTTCTCTTCATCTGGGATGTACAGTTTACACTGAAAAAAAGAAAAAAAAAAGCAAAACAAAAGGGAGAGCTATTTTCCTTCCTGGTGGGATATGCAGAACTCAGTGGGTGTGTGTATATATAAATATATATATATAATATATATAAATATATATAATGCTGACTTTAAAGAAAAAAAAAATCAAATCCCCACAACATACATTTTTTTTTAATCTGTGCCAAAAATGTGTTTTCAGAGAAAATCTTATTTTCATACTCAGACTTTGTATTGTCACTCATTTGTAAGTGCGCTTCATTTAAACATGCCCTTCCCCGCCCTCATCTCACGATACGTGGAAGTGTTATACACTTGTGCAAAAAGACTTTGGACCTTCCTCCCCTCCTCCTCACCTCCCGTAACACTTATTAATTTATGGAACTGTTTTTTTTTTTTCCTTTTTTTGTTTTTTTTTTTTTTTGGTTTTTTTTTTTTTTTTTTTCCGCCGGTTTTTTTTTTTTTGTTTCCTTTGTTATCAACTAGCCACTTCCTTTACTACATACACACTAATGCGGCGTCGCTCGCTGGGGGTGGTCGCGGCGGCGGGTCGGGCGCGTTCCCCCCGCCTTGATCTTCGCTGTACAGAGATGCTGCTGCGGGGGTTCCCTTGGCGTCGGTCTTGTTTAAAAGGGAGAGAAAAAAGTAGAAAAACCAGATAATTTTATCAGAGTAAACTCTAATCTTTGTTTATTTTTGGTTGCGTGTTGTAAGTATTTGTCGAACGGCAAAGTTGCGTTTTATTTTTAACCTGGGTGATGTTAAAGCCACTGGTAATTTTCATATGTTGTAACAAAATAACTTACTTTAAAAAAAAATCCCCAAAAGAGAAGGAAAGAGAAAAAATGCATTTTTTTAAGAAGGGTTTTGTGTCTTCTCGATGCCAGGGCTGAGGAGCAGGGGAGCTCGGCGGAGCAGCCCCGGGGTGCAGAGCGGCTCTGGGCCTGGTGACGGATCATCCAGGCGCCTGTGAGTCCGACTGTGCAGCCGTCAGGGTGTGTGCCCAGCCGGCCTTGTGCCTGGGTGTATGTGCAGCTGTCCATGCAACTGGCTGGCTGTACAGCCAACAGCCGGTGTCTGGCTGTGCGACCAGCTGTGCATCCAACAGCCCCTATGTCCAGGCATTTTGCTGTATATCCAGCTGTGCATGGATCTGGCTGTATGTCCGACTGTGAGAACACCTGACCAGCCAACTGTCCAGCTGCATGGCCAACTGTTGGCGAGTCTGGGTCATATCCAACAGTCCACCAGCCTGGTTCTGAGTCCAACCGTCCATTTGTCTAGCTGTACAGCCAGCTGGCCTTGTGATTGCCTGGTCATGGTCCAGCTGTCCATGAGCATTGGTTAAATCTTAACTGTCCATTTGTCTGACTGCACATCCAACCACCCCTGAATCTGCCTAGAGTCCAACAGTGCCATTTGTCTAGTTGTACATTCAACTCTGTGCAGCTGCCTGTACAGCCATGAGGCCAGCTGTGAGCACAAGCACCCCTTCCTCTAGGTGTACGTGCACTTGTCTGTGCGCCTGGCTGTACCTCCCGGTGTCCCTGTACACCCCCTGGCTGGGTGTCAGCCTGGTTTGTCTGACTGTACATCCAACCATCCCTGAAGCTGCCTATGAGTCCAACAGTGCCATTTGTCTAGCTGTACATCCAACTCTGTGCAGCTGCCTGTACAGCCATGAGGTCGGCTATGAGCGCAAGTGCCCCTTCCTCTAGGTGTACATGCACTTGTCTGTGCGCCTGGCTGTATCTCCCGCTGTCCCTGTACACCCCCTGGCTGGGTGTCAGCCTGTGCCTGTGTCCCTGGCTCTGCCTGCACCACCCTGGAGGAGGCCGGTCCTGGCACCCACTTACGGCCACGTCCTCCCCTCTTCTCCCTACCTGACCGTGGGGCCCAACAAGGAGCCGGGGGGCGCTGGGTGCCTTGGCGGGGGCACAGGGGGAGCGGACGGATCACAGCAGCGCCGGCTCCGCTGGGATAGAGGGGAGTCCCTGGCCCGATCCATGGAAAACCTGGAGCAGCCCCCAAGCCAAGAGAGGAGAGAGCCCCACCATGCGGATGGGACACACTAGGGTGCTGCTGAACAACAGAGAGGGCAGCAGGACAGCTGTAGGTTTTAAATAAGCTTTAGAAAATAATGCAATTTATTTAATCTAGATATTACACAACTTTAGAGCGGATTTTTAGTCTTTTCTCTCTCATTACAGAAATACACTTTTTACATCATTCCCAGGAGCTCTTTAAATAAACCGGGCAGCAAAGCAGAGGGCAGGCCAGGGGGCTCCCCGGCCGGCGGAGGGCGCAGAGGACGGCGGGGGGGGACGGGGCGGG